TCATTACGTATTGCAAATCCAATAGCCACCACCAAATACAAAAAAAACCCATTTGTAATTTCAGCAAATAAATTTGTATCTAACAAAAAAACATAATAACTAATAACTAACGAAATAATAAAACAAAAATTCATGGAAAAGAAGTCACACACTCACACATATTTACTTATCCACAGACAACAACAAAAAACAACAACTAAATGTAAAACTTAACTTAAATGAATGTAGGCATAGATTCTGCTTCGGTGAATAGTATGTAACTAATTGGTATTGGTCAAAAATGGTGTTCGCATTCCGCGTAAATCGTGGTGTTGTTGTGCTTTCCGGTCGTCCAAAATGTTTCATCGGATTCGTTTCCTCAACATTTGATCAGTATTATTTCCAAAAACCAAACCAACGTTCATAAAAATTATACAATTCGAATGTGATGCAAATGCGCACAATTGGCAAACGGTTCACACGGCATGCGATCAACTACCAATATTTTCAAAATTCTATGTATATTTCACATACATACACCACGAACAACAACAAAACACAAGAGATTTAACAAAAAAAAACATACAGTAAATGAGAAAAGTATAATTTAACAAAAGAAACTGTTTCAAGTGAAAAACCTTTATGTTTAATACATGTTGAAACTTAACAAACAATTGCTAAGTACTAAAAACAAAAACTGAATGAATAATATTTTAGGAGTTGAAAACTAAAACCAATAAAAATTCAAAAAAAAAATTCTACAATAATTTGGCAATGAGTTATTTCTTATTTCTACAGGACATTCGATCAAGTGCTTTGAATGCAACAGCAACATTGATATTCGATGCGCTCTACCATATCCACCGTCTGAATTTGTTGTGAACTGTGATATTGTGTCAGCCAATACAAATTTGACGTACAATTATTGCCGGAAGATTTCGCAAGTGATTCGAATTGGCGTTAATGAATGTAAATAACATTGATGCATTTCAAAATTTGATTCTTGAAAGATTCAAACTTGGCGGCAAAACTCTTCAAAATTGGTTCTCATATTCAAAAGCGGACAGATTTTCAATTGTCCTAAATTTGAAAGGAAAATTAAGAGCAAAAAATTAAAATTTCTTTCCAGTGGAGCCCGACAGCCGAGTCATTCGTGAATGTGGCAGTAATATAACCGAAGTTCGTGCCGAATGCTATACTCGCCATGGCGTGTCTGCACATCAACAGATTTGCGAATGTGATATCAGCTACTGTAACGGTGTTGAGCCAGTTCGTAAATCAAATCATGTTCTTCTCATCGTGTTCCTTGTGCTGGTAATTTTAAAACCATTGGTGGTTCCGGTCACGGGCCGAGCCTAAAAAATCCTAACGACAATAATGATCGTTCATCAAGAGTGAATGTGTAGAAAACAAAAAACCGTTTATTCAATATTTCATTTATATGGTTAAACAAGTAAGCGTTGAAAATTTCGCCTTATTATTCTATCAAAAAGTTTTTTGTCTCAATCAGGCAATAGAGATTAAAATAGGATTTGTTTGTCAGGTTGTTTTTTTTTGTTTGAAGAGTCTTTCCACAAAGCACAGCGTGGATTCTATTTTTCAATTAAACTTCCAATACAATTTGATCAATGTAGAAGTTACTAGGTCAATTCCCCTTTATTAGGCCGGTTCAAATTTGTGTTGCCTTTTGAAAATACTAATGATAATGTGTCAAAACCAATTTTAGAGGTCAGTCAATAAAATACTATTCGTGGATGACATGCACTCTTCATGGCAATATTAAAAAATAACAAATAAAAGTTTAGCTATAGAAACACACATTTAAAATATATCAAAAAGTTATTAAAATATTAAAATGGTTTTTGAACGGAAACTGTTCTGAACTGTGTAACAATTTTACTGTTGCTTATAATTCGAATAAAGTACACTTAGACTGGTTTTCGTTTGTTTTGTGGGGTAATAATGCGTCGTGGTGGCTTCGAAATCAAATGTGTTCCTTTTGCATGCGGAGTGGCACCGATTGAGGCCATCCGGCGAGTCATTGGGCTTTGGATTGCTGGCGATGGTGTGTTTCGACTGATGCGACTACATGCGGTAATAATCAGTAGGCTTTTGTCAAGATTGATCGGAGTCTTTTTGATGGGTGTATGGCGCTGTGCTCTGAGCTGTTGTCTACGATGCACACCGCTTATGGACGCCTTGCTGCGGCGTGGACTATTTGATGCCGCATGTGATTGATTCAATCGATTACGGACACTTGGTTCCAAAGTCGGTTTGTTTTCTTGATCACTTTGCTGGCTCGTTGTGCTCTGTGAGTCGTTTCTATTCGTTCGGGTAATAATTTTCGTGTTTGGTTGATCGGTTACGAGTCCATCGAACAGCTTTGCCTTGGCCATTACCATACCAGCATTTTGACTACGAAGACGTGCAATTGATGCTCGTCCAGCAACCTGTTGCTGTTCCTGTTCCCAAAGCGGCGTGAAAACATTGCGATTGGCCAGAACGGAATGCGGAGTTTTCGCTGGTGTTTTCTTGACCAATGGCAATCGTGGTGGAAGCATTGGCGTTTTTGTTGTGTCAGTCACCGTTGTATTGGTGTTAGTTGAACGGGGTGTATTTGAATTGGTCGGTTGATTTGTTGGTGTCACATCAAAATTCATATTCAGACGTTTCCGAGCTGGTTTAACCTTTGTTGTTGATGCCTTTATGCTATTTTTCGATGTGTTCAGCGTATTCTCTTCGGTCATAGTAGGCGTTTGAATGCCATTACCAAAGAATGCATTGGCACACATCCATTGCTCATTCTTCAAATCGTTGTTGCATAAGTCATTTTTCTTCAGTTCTTCAGTAAAATT